ACTTGCTTAATATTGTTTATGAATACCAATGACAGGGGATGAAGAAAGTGCAGTCCATTTATTAATACCTCTTTGATATTAACATAGTATATGAGGATTTTGTGTTTTTGAGAGGCAGGGGTAGTAAGCGATATCATTACCGGCAGAAATCTTGCCCGGGTCTTTAACTTCAGTGATGGGTACTGGTAGCTAATTTTGTTAATAATCGGTGCATTGGGAAAGTCATTTTTAAATTGGTCTTATAGTTTTTTTAACTGAAAAAAAGGAATATTACGGTTTCTTTAGTTTCGGTTTTACTTTTTTGATGTCTGAAAGATTGAGACAAAACGAAGTAAATCATTTTCAATCCATTGTTTTTGTGGGCAAATTAAATGAATTAAAATGATTTTTTTTTTTTTTTAATGTGGATAAAATCTAGCAAATTTTACCAAAATAATCTCGAATCCCATTGTTTAAATCTTTATTACGAATAATTATTTTTCTCCAGTACCTTTGCTACTCGGAATAACAGAAGGTTTAACCCGATTCGAGCCGAACGAATTGTATCAAATTGTCGTTGTTAACGCAATTAATATCATCGCCTTTGAAAAACGATCCAAACTGTAAATTATTTCAATATCCGTTTCACGCCTTTACTCGTCATAACTAATTGGCTTTTCTTACAAAACGTCCTTTGTACGATAAAACACCATTTTATAATATTGTGTTCAACGTTGAGATAAATTCTAAGCAAAAATCGTTTGGGTGTGTAAACTGTATCGAAATTATAATTGCTTAGCGAGTAAAAAAAGAAAAAAATGAAAAACCTACAACGAATTTATAATTCAATGTTACTATACTGTAAACCAAATAATAACTCGACTCTTGTTTCCGACGATAATATTCCAAATTGCTAGTAAACCTTTTCCTTATTTATTATATATGTATCGTGTTTTGTCAAATAATTCAAGCAAATATTTTGTGAATATTTTAAGTTTCTAAATGTTTTAGAATATTTTAGATTCTGCGTAGCGGAGGTGTATTGCTATTTATTTTGAATTATTACTGTAACAATAATATTTACACGACTATGTTTACGAGAACAACTTATAATTAATGCACGTAAATTATTCGTTTTTTCTTCGTATTTCGCAGTACCTAAGCAAATTTAATATGAGGAATATCTCGAATTTAATTTTTTTCATCATATTACTTACAATAAATACGAGTGTATCGTGACTCACAAATTAAAAGTTAACTAAAAGCGATAACAAATTATAATAAAAAATAAACGTATTTCCATAATGTAGGTCAGCGGTAACAAACTACGGCCCACGATCATTTATTAATCCACCCATCAAAGTATTAAATCGAAATCGAAAAAAAAAACTACACATTTTAAAAATTAACACTCGCATTAAAAAAAAAAAGATATGATTATATGTGGATATTTTATTGAAAAATGGGTAGTTGGATTAATTTGGATGGTTTATATAATTAGTTATTTTCACTAAGGTCATCAACTAAGAGTGTTTATGTTTCGTACAAGGAGAATGGATCCAACGATTTGGCCATACGATATAAAGAAATAACGATTATCATACACGCGGAGTAGTGCTCTGAATTGGAAAACAATGGGCAAGAGATAGAGAAAGATTAATGGATATTGTAGAATTGGAGAACTATAATAGTGGTACAAGAACAGTGAGAAGTGTTTCAGGATCCAGTAAAGTGGCGGGATATTGTGATCTTGGCAAACATTTTCAAAGCGTATTGAATGCCAAAAGAAGAAGACGAAGAAGAAGAAGAATAAGAACATATATTTTATAATACGCAGTTCAATTGGATAGATTTTACTTAAAAATGAATAAATAAAAATACCACGCACACAATTTTTAATCGTTTAAAATATAATATGCTAATAAGTACCCATAACTGTTATCTCGGTTTTATTATAATGTTATAATATTATTTTAAATGCGCCGGAATACATTTTAACCGACAGATTATAATAGTATTTAGTTTTCTAAAAATTCGTCTATCAAAAAATAATTATTAAGGCTTAATGTATTAAAAACAATCTGAATATTGCACATTGTACTTATACCGATACGTACTTACGCGATATCGCATAATGACGCGGTTAACGATAATACTATTAATATATGTTAATAATACGTGCAATTATAAACGAATATATCTAAATAAATTTTTTTTCAACGTTATTAATGTAATGAGTTAATACTAGTGTACTTGAATATTGGATATGTTTGTATTGTGGTGGACATTTCACAACCTTATTGAAAATCTTTACACATTAACGTCACTCGACGTGGGAAATAGAAAGTCCATTGGAAACTTTTCATTCTCGTACACGATAATGTATCGGGGGGGGGGAAGATTTTTTACTACACTGAAAACAATCGGAGAGGGGAACTGGGGAAATGTCCGTTTATTGAAAAATGGGCATCATAGAAAAACTAATAGGTATTTAATCTAACTTAACCCAACCTACATTCGTCACTTCGCTCAAAATCTAAAAATGAATTAGTTTCTCGATTATAAACTCAGTTGTATCATATAGTTACAGTTTTTATCTTCTACATTATTAAGGTTGGCTCAAATCGTAGATAAATAATTAAAAATTAAATTGTTCAAAAGGATATAGGAAATCGACTTTATACTAAGATGGACAAATCACCTATAATAAATCACTTAAATTCGATTGGGTCTTTGAACAGAACAATTATAGGTATGCCTAATCGAAATCTTAATAATTTAAAACCAAACTCAGATGGGTATGTTTTAGATTTTTGAACGTCGACCTGCGATTTGGAATTCAGCAAAAGAACCGAGACAACTCGCACGTGGTTCAAGACCAATTCAATTTAGTATACTATAAGGCAATTTATTGATGGAACGTAATATGATAAACGGTTTTATTTTATAACTACGTTTAACCGGAAATTGATATCGGATGAGAAAAATATAATCAAATAATAATATTATAATATACTTCAAAGTCGTCGTAGCATCATAACGAAGTTAAACCGTACTGGCGGTGATATAATAATAATAATAATAATGTAAAACGCGAGATATAGGCACTGCGGCGACGGTAAAAGGTTTGAGTGATTGGTAGAACAAACGGACGATTTTGGAAATAAACTGATATGCTAAATGTAATTTATATGAAAATGTAGGTATACATAAGTACAAACGTATACGACGTTTTTAATTTACTTTGAGTGCGCCTTTATACTAATATTATTTAATAGTCATATAATCGACTAAAAATCATAGACGGCAGATATGTTATTATGTGCACTAGAGATTAAAGTGATAAATCAAGTAGTATATTACCACACTGATAGTCGGAAATGTATACTTTATAAATACCATTATTGGGTTCGATTGGCAATTACGTCATGCGGAAATATTATCGTCATAAACAAACAAATAAGGATGATACTTTTGATGGTGGGTGTGCTGTTGTTTTAAGGTAGATGTTAGAAGGGAAAGGACTTAAATCTGTACGCTCTGATAAGCTATTGCTAACCAAAAATTATTCTGAATCGAGTATGATTGGTCATATTTTAGATTCTGAGCAAAGCGAGGAATGCACTTACAATGATGTTTGTTTAATTTTTTTTTCTGTAACCAATTTCTTACTAGCGATTTTAAAAACTTTTTTGAAAGAAAATCTGACTGGAGTGGTAATTTTGGGAAAGTAATTTTTTGGTTTTCCCAAAAAATAGGATAACATGAGAAAAACCGGGAAAAAACCTGAGAAAAATGTAGGAAAATAGGTAAAACATCAAACAAATATATAATGCATATGAAATTATTTTAAATTATTTAAATATGACATATATACTGTTAACAAAGCTACACTATTAACCGAACTCTGTTCAGAGTCGTTTTTCGTTTTCAATAGATAATCGTTGCATACATATGAACATTAAATTTCTCCTTCACTTCCTCAAATACTCCCCTACAACAGTGGCCCACCCAATGTGTGATATTTTTCAATTGTTGCCGAGATAACTCGAAAACCAACAGTAAGTATACAAAAAGTGACCGGTTTATCCTATTTATCAAGTGTACTACAAAGAAAATTTAAAAATTCAATGTGTCAACTAAATCAAAAACACTACCAGAAAAGTTTGGATAAAGTTTTTGATTGAATCATGATTTTTGGTCAAGGTTTTATTAGATATAAATAAAAAAGCACATCATATTAAAACGTAAACCTTAATAAACAGTCGTGACCGATATTTTTAATAGCTTAGATGAAATATAATAATAATAGTAAAATACGACAAATCTCGAGATTGCTTTGAAAATTAAAAAAAAAAAAATCATATAAACGAATATCTTGTAAAAAGCCGAATGAAAATGTATCTTTAATACATTGAAAATTTAAGAACGTCATTAAGTAATTATTTTAAAAATCGAAATCCGTTGTATAAATAAAACGCAATCAATTATACTTGAACGTTTATTTTTTCTATGTATATATTATTTTAGCTTTATTGAAATTGTCATTAAATTGTTTATTAAAATTATATTTACTCTTTTTTAACATTAATATCAAAAAAATTAGGTAACAAAACAATGTTCTGACAATTTTAGTGATGTTTAGATTGGTAATTTTATAATTTGTCTACATTAATTTGTACTACAATATTACTACTTATCCTCGAACATTGCGGAATTATGGAAACAAAATATGGGCTCTATGCTAGCGAACATGCACCGCTTATGAGATTGTGTTAATCTAATGCGAATATGATCGGAATAATATGTAAAAATATTCTAATTAAACGCACCTAGTAGAGTACTGCAAGAACCACTTTAGATTTATCAATAAATACTTCGGCGATTCACAAGTGCCACAACAAAAAATAGTTTTTTTTTGTTTTTAAAACAAGTTGATTTTTATTGCAGCATTCTGTGAATTCATCGTCAGTATTCGTTAATTACTCACATTCACAAGTTCCGAATTCACGTCATTCACAATGCGTCGGCCATCAGGCATTTCGTGGGCGTTTGCAGTGGCGATCGTCGTGTCATCGGTATTTGAAGCTACGAGAAGTATTGAATTAGGTACGTGCACATTTTCACGTTCGGGATGAATTGAAATAAAAACGTATTTTAAGACAACGATTGGCGTTCTTAAACTCTAAAACATTAATAATAAACGGTATTTTGTCGGTTTTTCAGGACACACTAACAAAAATGCCGAACAGATCGCGGCTAGAAGTAACATAAGGCAAGCTAACGGAGATTCCCTCGAGAACGGTAAGTTTAGAAAAGAGAGTTTTAGGTTTTTTTTTTTTTTTTTTTTCATAATTTTACCGTACTGTATTAGATTCGTCAAATAAATTATAGTGAAGTTTTAAAATGTATAACTATGTATAGGTATAATAATAGTGGTTTTTTTTTTATCCGCAGACAAGTCGTTCTGGATCAACTATAATAAAGGCCTGCTGGACCATAAAATCCACAAGGATCTGCGTCAGTATGGAACGGCCAAGAATATCATTTTTTTCTTGGGTGACGGCATGTCAATAACCACGTTGACCGCGGCCAGAATCTACATGGGACAAATGCAAAATCGTACCGGCGAAAACGAGTCGTTATCCTTTGAAAAGTTCCCGAACACAGGCCTGTCCAAAGTGAGTTTTGGCGCACGTGATGCATGTAAATTTATGATCGTTGATTGAGTATCTAGGTTATAAAGGTCATTTAAAAAAAATATAATTTTATATACTGAAATAGTCGGTGGAAAATATAACTGGCTAAAAATATGGCCTGCGGAAAATTCAGTCGTATGAAAATCTGCTATGGTCATTATTCTATTTGGCCTTTATTACCGGTTACTTGTTGGTCCTACACAAGAATATCATGTTCCGCAGTATTATCGAAAAACGTTTTTCGCAGACTTATTGCGTGGATAGACAAGTGGCCGATTCGGCTTGCACGGCCACGGCGTACCTGACGGGTACAAAGGGTAATATTGAAACTATCGGGGTGACCGGGGCTGTGTCCGACCGGGACTGCGTTGGTGCCAACGATCCCACAAAACAAACGGTGTCCAGTATGCTGTGGGCACAGAAGGCGGGCAAAAGAACAGGTGTGGTGTCCAACATGCGAGTGACGCACGCCACACCGGCGGGAGCGTACGCCAATGTGGCGAATAGGGACTGGGAATGCGATAATGACGTGAAAAAAGATTCATTAGCCCATTCCAGGTGTGCGAATGAAGCGGTGGACATAGCCAGGCAGCTGATCGAGAAAGAGACCGGAAGAAATCTGAACGTGAGTAAAAACTGTGTAGTAAAATATTGGGGAAAAGTTATAATTTTAGGACTACGTGACTTTGCATTGTTTTCCAAATCTTGCTATGCGACATTGGATTGGTATATTTTTCAATGATATTATCTTCGTTTTTAGATGATACGAGGGTTTTTGGATTTAAAATTCAATTCTGAAATTGTACACGATAACATGATTTTCCAATAAAATCCATTAAGTATCCGTCGTATTATATTGACGAATAATAGTATTATATTATAGTTAAACACCAAATAGTGAGTGGCGCGATTTCCACCAATTTGTTTCATGCATATTTGAATGAGAAAAATATTTTGCATTTTTGACAATTTTTTGATTTTTTTCGGTTTTTATTGCATAAGTTCGTTATTTTAAATTTGTATGACATAAAAGCAATTTTTTTTAAGGTTTTTTTGAGTTTTTATGTAACGCATGATTATATTCTCAGCACTAATACAGTGTACTTATGCGCTCACGTCGCACACCAAAACCTTCTAAAAGATGATACGGTGGCCACGTCTATAGTTTTGTTTTTTTAGAGAATAATAATTAGGTATATTAAGCGCGTTTGGATACATAGTAGTTTCCGATTCAGAGAGGTTTTTGTTACGTTTTACTTACAGGTCATAATGGGCGGCGGGAGATCGAAATTTTTGCCGAACACTACTAGTCCGGAAGGCCAAAGAAGAGATAACAGAAATTTGGTTGAGGAATGGAAGAACATCGAGCGTTTTACTGGAGCGCATAAAGCTTACGTCGAAGATCGGTCTCAATTAAACTCTGTCAATACCAACGAAACGGACTATCTTTTCGGTATAATAACTTATCTACACATTTTAATGCTATACTAAATTCGCGTATCTCTATATTTTATTACACATAGTTATGTATCATCATACGGCTTGAACCGTAGATTATTATTAACTAGTCCTAGTAGACCGAAAATCGTACGCGTCTCTCGTATGAAGACATCTGATTAGCAAAACGACGGATCCAGGAAGAAATAAAGAAAATCGTTAATTTTTTTTTCACGAAAATCGTTTATTTGTCGTAACGATAGATAACTACAATCTTGATTATCACACGTGTACCATGAATTATCATATAAAATATTCTAGATAGTAAGTAACGTATGAAATCGTATTATCTGTATTGCTTTTCCTCGAAAAAAAAAAAAAAAAATGTTTTCCCTTTTATAGTTCTGTTTTCTTATCGGATGCCGTTTAACTAATATTTTTCACTCATGACGCGATCCACCAGTTAATAAGTCTATAGTTTTAATGACATTGTTGTTTTGTGAAAAATATCGTCGACAAAAAGCTCGTGTATTATTTGCACGGTCTTTAAAAGTTGGGTACCCACTACGGGTTCTAGATTTAATATTATGATAATTGTCTGGTGTCACGAAATACGTTGCACAACGGATAATAATGAAAGTGCGGATCCTTTGTGACCTCGTCGTAACGATAAAATTAAAATGAAAAATATATTGTTACGTTTTAACGGAGCTTGAATTAAATTATTGTACTTGGCTCGAATAATTATACTTACATGTTAGTCACAAAAATAAAACGATCGATAAAAGTGGTCTTCAAAACAAAAACAATAACTATTATTTGCGAGAAAATTCCGTTGTTTTTTTTCTTTTGGTAATATTACCTATCGAATTGTTTTTTCCTTACGATATATTACATTTGAAATACAGTTTACCTAATTCTGTGTTTTCGGTGTACGGAAATACTGTATAATTTATTACTCGTGTAAAACATTATAGGCTTGGGGATATATCCATAAAAAAAAAAAAAAATTCAATAAATAAGTTCTTTTATTTATTTATATTATATTATACAAATTTGTTACGACTTTTATTTGATGATAAACGATTTAAACATAAAACAAACCATCTATTTCCTATATTCTGTCATAAGTTGCCTTGTATACCAACATTGTTAGAAAGAGATATCCAATAACTGACATATGATAAGATCTTAATTCCATAATATGCTATCCATAGGTTTATAAAAAAACTATAGATAACCGACTTGGCATTATTATTGGCGACGTTCAAATGGCCGTGAAAAAAGTAAAAAGTTATCAGTAAAATAAAATGTAAACACGGACCTTTTTGATAAAAAAAAAGTAGACCATTTTATTGATCTTTGTTAATCTTACATTAAACAGTATATTGTAAAGTTGGCTATCTAGTTGTTAATACATAACTGTGATGCTATATTTTTGCTAAAAATATTGTAATCTCTGTTGTTAAACTTCACCCTCTCACGATTGTTGGGACGGTATTGAGTTGTAATCCGGATAACTCTTTTACTCTCTGTTATCAGTTATTTGTATTATTATGTGTGGTAAAGTTTGTCCTCCATGCGAATGACGTAGACACCTAGTAATATTATTGGGAATATGTTTGGTTGGCAGGTCTGTTCACTCCGAGTCATATGAACTTCAACTTGTTGGCCAACAAGACGAAGGAGCCGACCTTGGTCGAAATGACGGAGGCGGCCATCAAAGTGCTGTCCAAGGGTGAAAACGGTTTCTATCTGTTCATCGAGGGGGGCCAAATAGATACGGCGCATCATTTTAACCTAGCGCACCTGTCCCTCGACGAGACGGTCATGTTTTCGAAGGCGGTCGAACGAGCATACCAAATGACGTCCAGACGCGACACCCTGATTGTGGTAACTTCGGACCACTCGCACACCATGACCATTAGCGGTTACCCTCATCGTGGTAGCAACATATTCGGACACTCGGAAGTCTCGGACATGGACAATATGCCGTATTCTACACTGAGCTACGCTAACGGACCGTCCGCCAACGCATCGACTACCGGCATCCGGTACAATTTGACTGGCGACAACACCGGTAAGTATTTACACGACGTCGTTCGTAGATGTCTGCAAAAACGATTCAGGGCCATAGCGTACAATCGAAATAACAACTGATTTATTCGGATTTCGTATTAATGAAAACCGTATTTTCAGACGATATAATGTACAAGTTCCCGTCACTATGGCCGTCGTCGTGGGAAACGCACGGCGGCGAAGATGTGGCCGTATTCGCTGTCGGTCCATGGTCACACCTGTTTGTCGGCAACTACGAACAGAGTTTTATACCATACGCTATCGCCTATGCAGCCAAAATGGGACCCGAAGCTCGAGCCGAAACCAGCCAATCTTCTGCATCCTTGAACTTAATTCCGTTCGTGTCTGCAGTCGTCTCCTGCACGCTCGTTTTACTCCTAGTTCGGTGATCGTCCTCTAGTGACAGCCGAGCGAGACCCATCGTCATTTGTATATATTTAAAAAAAAATATATTCCCGAAACTATATTATTTACATAATAAAAGTTTGGGTTCAACATGTACAGTATTGATCAGAAATACCAAATAATATTGACGGTGTTTATTTCCCTGTTTTATCTAAATGAATTTATTAATTGAATATTTTAACTTAACTACATAAATGATAAATACGTTATTTGAAAAAAAAATGATTGAATATCCTTGCCAATGTTACTTTCAACACTACATTTCTCTACTATTTTGACTATAGATAATAATGTTTCTAGATAAATCGTAATTTATGTGTTTATTAGAAATAATAGGTACAGTATTTCATTTGTATTAAGGTGCTGGTTTTTCAAATTTTTTCCAAATTTTTACAAATTTAAAAAAGATTTTTAACATTTAAATGGCGTATAGATAATATTTCTCCGCTAATACACTACCCAATGTTCATTTAAGTGGTATGCATAATAAAAAACAACATTCTACAGCTAGAATTGAACTTCGATTTTTTATTCGATTCAAAATAAAGGTATAAATTAGTAAATTAAATTTAAAAATTGATTTTATATTATAGAGTTTATTGTGACAAAAAACATTGAAAATCGTAGTTTTAATGCGATTTATAGCACGTCTTAACCTTTCCAACAAAATATAATCATCAAAATCGGACTATTTTACGAAGCGTATGAGTTTTTCCCATAAATTAAGCTTTTTAGTCAATCGTTTAGGCACCGGATCCCTTAATATGATTTTATAAATAAATTATTAAGTTAACACAATCGCATGGCTTTTTAAAATATAGGTGTGTTCCAAATATTTTACACTTTTATTATTACTTTTAGCACTTTATTTTATGATAGGTATAATGAACAGCATTATCTCTATCTAGTACAAGTTCCATTGTACGTATATTTTATCTTTGTCTAGACAATTGTACAACATGGAAGTCGTCCACAGAACGACACATTATAATTAATAAAATTAACTTTTCTCCAAAGTGTTAATTGTATCCAAATTGTAAATCTTAATGATATTGAATAAATTAAATATAACAATTTTACAAATATTATGACGAATTCTGAAATATGAACTCGATATAATCAGTGCCGTAATAACGGGTATGTTGGGAGTGCAATTGAATTTTAGGTCATTGATATGTCTTCACGATTGACTGAATTAATGTAAATGTAAATGGTTATCACTTTATCACCGTTATTTTTTATGGATTTTTGATAAGTGGGCTGCATAAAATCGGCATGCACCGCAATAAACACATATATACCTAGTTGTACCTGTGTTAGTTGTGTTATCACTGATAAAAATACAAACAATCAAAATAACGATGAATATTAGCGGAGAATACAAACAATATATCGAGTCAGAGGTAAAAAAAGAAACGCGCACTAAGAAAATGCGAAATCTCGTCTTTTCGATAAAAACAAAAAAAACTGTCACGGTGTTTGTGATGGTTCGATAAAATATAATCAAGAAAATGTATTTCTCTTTTCGATTTTGCACATAATACAGAAATAATATCTCACTGTCGATGTATTTTCAGATTTGATAGATTCGATTCGCGAACAAAAATATATTTGGTCGCAGTATCAATGTTTGAAGGTCGTATACAAATGGTAAAATTCCGGGTATAAAATATAAAGTCACAGTAGCAATTTGTTCGATATATAACGAATAAGGCGAATTTAGGCACTCGACGCCAAAAAGAAAATAAACGGGAAAAATTAAATCGAGTTATGAGTCAGTGTCTTCTTCCCTGTCTATGTATATTTATTATTTAAAGCGAGCATAACAAACACGTGGCCCGCGACTTATTCTTATGCGGCCCCGGCCACATTGAAAAATAAAGTCAAATGCCACACAAATCAAAAAATAATAGACAACTTTATAAATATATATATATATATATATATTTATTAAATTTATAATTATATCTTCTATGCGTTCTATAATTATTAACTCAAAATTGAAAATTCAATACGTTTATATAACTATATTGTGTTATGTGTATCGTTTGTAATATACTTTTCAATAATACTATCACTAAAAACCAACAATAGTAATATTTAAAATTTAAGGAACAATAATTTAATCAGGTTGATTTACCCAATTTTGACAAGAATGTGTGTCAGCAAAATTGTTAGAAATTTGGAATTTCGCTTGCAAGATAATGCCAATGTTTTGTAATACTTATCAGAATAAGAAACTACTTTTTATTATAATGAAAGAAAATAAATCTCCTACTATTGGATTCAGATTGACAGATATTCGTCCTGGTTCAGTGTTAAAATTGGCATTATCGGTGGCTAAAAAAAAGTGTCAGATATCTGAGAAGACAAATTAATAAACATTGTATATTGTTAGTTTTTTAATTTTGTATGGAAAATCCATATTGATATAATAATAAAATGTAAACAGATTTATTTTTTTTTAGTAAATTAAATTTTTTTTGCGGCCCACAAATATTTTTGTACAGGTTTTGGCCTAAGTAGAACTTTGAGTTTGACATTTTTTATTTTTAGATTGGTCCGAATGCAAAATAAATCTATTGAAATTAATCGTTGTGATGTCAATATTGTATACGTTCGATAAGTGTATACGTTCAATTAGTGAGACCGTTATGATTAGTAAAACATAAATAATTCGCTTTGACAGTCAGGGGAATTCTAGAAATTTTATCGAATCGAACTTTTAATAATTTAAAAGTATAATATCGGTAATATATTATGAAATTATTATTTTTTTTTTTTTTTACATTTGAAACCAACTGCACTCATTATTACGACTTTGTACGGACATCATTTACAATTCGGTTTAAAAATGGTTTCCAGTAAAATTGTAGCTCGTATTTTATTAGTATTACATAATATACATGGGACGTTTTATTAGCTCGTACAATCAAAATATATAAATTTACGTATACGTTACTCATGTCAATCGTGAAAACGTTATATCTACGCGTACACTCGAGATACCTATAAGGTCAACTGAAATACGGAGGGAAAGATATATTGAATACATATTACACCGAGGAGTGGCAATCGTGGGATTACGTGTAAACATATAGTGACTTCGAATGAAATCAAATTAAAAAAAAAAAAAAACTCCACAACCATCTCAGAAAATTAGGTTGCGACAAAGTGTCGTATAGCTAAAAAAATAAACATAAACTGGTAGATTAAATAATAACATTGCCGTGTTCATAGTGTCGAGAACAAAATTTCAAAATGTCACTATAATTACACTAACGGAAATGCGATCATCACCGCAAGTACAGTGTTTGTTTTATTGACGATACCGAAAAGCATAATACTGAACGCACCGACACAATAACAATAATCGATTATAATAAGTGTAAATTTAATAATGTTCGAAGGTTATGCAGATAGCGATCGATATGGCTTATCGTTATCTCGGAAAGTTTTTTCGTAATTCGTTTTATTTATTTTTTTATAAACGGTCAGTAACGATCTACATTGAAACATTAAATTTATCCGTTACTTTTCGCCACTCTAATTTTCGGGTGGTGAAACCACTACGTACTTTTGATTTTCAAATAGCAAAATATATTTATTAAATGGACGGAGTATTAGTTTATATCAATTTTAGTGATGGCATTTTTAATTTCCGTCAAACCGCTGTCGAAGTATTCAATTTTTATGTTTCGGCAGAGAGAGAATAGTGGAACATCGTTTGTGTGGTGGCGATTTGTCTATCGCTACTTTTCCTCTGCCAAAACTTAAAAGTTAAATATCTCGTCAACGGGTTGGCAAAAATTTAAAAATGTCAACAGTATATTATATTTGAATTGATACACTGTATATTAATGGAATTTTTAGTGTAAGTTGCTATTTGAAAATCAAAAGTATGTAGTAAGTAGTAGTAGTAGTTTTAACCCAAAAAATAAGTGACAAAAAGTAACGGTAATGTAAGATTTTAGAAATTCACGCTTGAAATTTTGAAAAAACAATTAAAAACGAAAAAAATTAATACTTTTCGAGATAATTAGTGTTTTCAGTTGTATTAATCACTCCGTATAGATAGAATGAATAATAATACCATTGTGAACCGTTTGAAAGTCAACGTACATTTTTTTTTCGATTCTGAGCGATTAATGTATTGGCTAAACTATGTGTACGTGTGTTTTTTTTTCTGACTGTAAACAATTTTTTCACTGAAAATCTTGTTCGAATATCAAATTTAGACGATGGTTTATGGTAGGTAGTAAATTTTATGGTTTGCAAAAACTGAAAGAGAATATCGGAAAATGGGAAACAATAATTTCCAGTTTATTTTTGTTTCATTATATATTTAGGTTCTGAGTGAAGTGAAGAAGCTTATAGTTTTACAATGATGTTTATTTTTTTTTCTGTGTGACAACTTTTCTACCGGCAGTTTTGCTCTGATTTGCATATCACTTTTTCTTAAAGGAAATCTGACTGGGGAGGTATTTTAGGGAGTTTATTTTTTGATTTTTCCCAATAAATGGACCGAATAAATAAATAATAAAATAAACCGGAAAAATGTGAAAATAGGTACAATATTAAACAAATATAATTTATGAAAATATATAATGCCTATGCAATTATTTTACCATAATATGACACGTTTGATTGTTTTCCATCAGAAATTACTCATCATTGCGTGAAAAAAGAATATAATCACGTTTATTATAATATTATGTAATTATTTATAACAATAAATAATATCACGCTATATTATAATTATACTCAAAACTACCTACTACAGTGGTACACCCATCAGCACTATAAGCTAATTTTGTTTTATTTCGATAAACAATTTTTTTTTTTTTATCGTGATCAATTTTGTTTCATTATTTTCACTGGCTCATAGTACATGTGCCTTTATATATTCTCGTCGAATTAACCTAATAACAAATGTATAATTATAGATAAGATAATACAAATGGAATATGATATACATCGCATGCCTTATGTCACATGTGTTAGTTGCAAGAAAAACACACGAATGTGGACATACCTCTAATGTAATCTTACGAAAACGTTACGACACTACGATTTTATCAATCGAATATATTCCAAATATGATAGTGTTTTTATATTTTTTGATAAAGGTTATCAGTAGGTAATTTCGGAGTAGGTACAACCGGTGTGTTGAGCTCATTGTGAGTACTTATATACCTACAGTATAACCTGTTAGGTATTCGAAAATAAAGTTTAATACATTTTTAGATTTTAAGTGTTCAGAGTACTTATGATCAGGAAATCGAAAACAGTATGCAGGTTCCAGTTGACTGTTATGATGGGAACACTTTAGTTTGTATTTATACATACATATACATGAGTGCATCGAAAACACAGATATATTTTTTAGTGATACGATTAAGTGTGTATTAGTGTATGCACGGAAATTATTATTCGTCGTCAGTATACCTATTTTATTCACGTCCATAGGTCGAGTCTTAATCGTTCGTGATGCTTTTGAGAATTTCGTGGGTTTTCGGGATGACGGTTGTCACATTTTCGGCGTTCAAAGTCACGAGAAGTATTGAATTCGGTGAGGCGTGTTCTTTAAGCATATTATAAGGACAAAGTAAAAAAAAAAAACTGATGGCGTAAATTAAAACTAATAATTGATTTGTTTTTCAAAAAAAAAAAACGATGCTAACGATATGTTATCGAATTTCCAGGACCCTCCGACACCAACGACGAAGCTATTTTCACCGATAGTGGTACGTATACAATAACATTGTAATATTAAAGTAATGATTTATTGTGAAATCCGAATATAGTTAAATCATAATTAAAATAAAAAAAGAACTCCGGATATTCGACTTTATGATTTGTGTTTATCGGGCTTATTGTTATGTCGTATGTATTATGTCTAATTTACGTAGTCGTTCCCGTTTTTCCAGAAAAGTGGTATTGGACGGATTATAACAAGGGCCTTCTGAAAGAAAAACTCTACGCGAGACCGCGGTACGGAACGGCCAAGAACGTAATTATGTTCGTGGGTGAAGGGATGTCGATATCCACTTTGACCGCAGCCAGGATCTACATGGGCCAGTTGGACGGTAACGAAGGCGAAAATGAAGTGCTGGAGTTCGAAAAGTACCCGAACGTTGGTCTGTCCAAAGTCAGTTTTGGCAATGTTAATTATAATACACACAACTCGATCAAAAAAAAAAAAATAATAATATCACAAGATATAACCGTAATGTGATATTTTGATATTGTATTTATTGAACTATACAGAGTGATAAATCGTTAGGCACTCATTAACTCGGAATGAATTAACGTTTTTCGCAATTTTTTTTTTTATACAACATTTTAGAAATAAGTAGTTTTATAAATTTTACATTTGTTCTATTTTTGTCACCCATGTTTTTTGTGGTAAAACCAAAACCAATACCTACATTAACCTACATTAAAAATTTCATAAATAGATGGAAAGTTAGTTCGAATAAATTTTGGGACTGAAATTTTAGATTTTCTTTAATCTGTTGACGAGATATTCCATTTTTAAGTTTTGGTCAGAGGAAAATAGTGGTGAATTATTAAAACGCCGTATGCTGTACCACCCCACGAATTATGTGCTTTATTTTCGGGGAAATTCGACAAAAATTAATTATTATAACGTTAACAAATTGGCTGAGAAAATTACGATTGTTTTATTTCTCTCTCTTGTTCACGGGTGTTTTTTTTTTACTTAATTCAAACTTAACTGAATTTTCAGCATTAAAACGAATTTTATATTATGATTACCGACCAAACTGTATAACATTGTTCTCAGACCTATTGTTTAGACAGCCAGGTGGCGGATTCGGCTTGCTCGGCCACCGCGTATTTGTCGGGCATCAAGGGAAACATGGAAACGATCGGCATGACCGGGGCCGTATCGAAACGGGACTGCGTGGTCGGCAACGACCCCGCAAAACAAACGGTGTCCAGCATGCTGTGGGCTCAGAGGGCGGGCAAGAGAACCGGCGTGGTGACCAACATGCGGGTGACGCACGCCACGCCGGCGGCCACGTATGCTAACGTGGCACAAAGAGACTGGGAATGCGATAAGGACATGGTCAATGATCCACTGGCCGATCCTCGTTGCTTAAAAGAGACGTCGGACATCGCGAGACAGTTGATCGAGGGGGAAACCGGAAGAAACCTAAACGTGAGTCAAATATTCTTGCACGATTTGTATACCTGTGTTTATAATCATATAGGCGCAACAGACCACTCACTTTCGGGGGTCCTAAAATTATGGACACATCAAAAATCCATGGGAGCTATGCTCGCACAATGCAACCAAATAAATCTTCCATTTACAATTTTGTACATACGAATTTATCATAACTTTTTTAACATTATTTTTAACACACACGTGAATTGTTAATAGGAAATTTATATTTTGTACTGCCCATGAATTATGAAATATAATATGGATAAAATACTTAGTTGTTACTATGAAAAAGCTGATTGAGTTTTTTGGGGGGTGCTAAAGACCTTCTAGCATACCCCTTAGTTGCGCCTACGTAACTATAATATTGGCGGAAAGTCATTTTAAATCGTATATTTTTTGCGTGGTCTCTATTTCATATGCAACACAAAGATATTATAAACTAAAACCTAACGCGTTTAAATGTTAAGTTGTTATAGTTTTCAGTCTTTTTAGTATTTACATGCGCGGGTTTTAATACAAGGAAACACTTACTAAAACGTATTTATCTCATGTAACTGTTTGACAATAGTGTACAATATACAAATTCTGTACATAATATATAACATATTAAAAAAACATTAAAAAAAAAAAATTAAATAAATTAATGGTTCATTGAAATCTTGAACAATATATTTCTGAGTATACAAATAATCGTTATAATAAAGTCGAGTATTTGAACATTGTATTTATTTTTAGAAATTTCGAAAAAATTAAATCTCTTCGTGCAGCAATACAAGAAATGTAAATAGTTAGTTGTTTTTATAAGAAAAATAATTATAGTAAAGCTTCATAATTATATGAAGAAAATTGAGTAAACATATCGTATCAATAAGATGAATGAAAACGTCTGGATGCAAATAGAAAAAATCAGTGTATATATTTAAGGTAAGAAAAAAAATGAAATTCGAGTTAGTACATTGTATTTTGTGCTTGACTTATTATTTCGTAGAACTGATGCATACTTAAATCAAGAAATGGAGCAATTTTGATAGGAGTTGAAAAATTGTTAAAATTTAATCTTAATAATAAGATGACATTGATAAATATTGGCAAATTATTTTAATCTTCTAAAGATGAATTTGAACTTGAAATAAGACTTTTAAAGGGTCGCAACAAAAATTCAGGTGAAAAATTTACTAACAAAGATCGTTCATTTTTATTGTATTGATTAAGGGCATTGAGGAAATATGATTTTGACACAATTTTCACACACCAGGTGTAGACAGAAATCTCCGTTGTAACAAAAATTCTTTGTTTCATGTGAAAGAGTATATTCAAAGCTTACAGATACGTATGTTAAAACTAAGTTTCGTACCACTATAAAATAGGAATATAATATGAGTTATTTAATATTTCAATTCATTGAACAAACCGTGATAAAAAATATTGACACCGATGAAGAAATTAAAGAATTTAAAACAAATTATTGATATGATCATCGTTTAGTTTTATAAATATTCTATAATCTTTTTGTAATATTCTCTTAATTTATATAATATTAAAATGTATTAATTAAAAGGTCTATTTTATTGTTTGAATTAATAATAATAATTTTAATAATATTTAATTGATTATTAAAGATATAACAGAATGCTATAAAAATAAAACAGCATCTAAATTTACCGGGAAAAGTGGCCATAGTCAAATGAAAATATCTAGTTCCGTTTATGACGGTATAGATAAGAATACATTTTTGATACATATTTTGTTGCCTTTTGCAAAAAATAGAGTAACGAAAAAATCGTTTTTTGCGTAGTTATTTTTCGAAGGGAGATTTCAGGAAATTTCGGGCCTTTTTTATACCAATTCTACAAGTAAACACACAGATATGTTTTACAGGTCATTATGGGTGGCGGTAGATTGAAATTATTACCGAACACAACATTGGATTGTGAAAACAAATACGGGGAGAGACTAGATAACAGGAACCTGATCGAGGAGTGGATGAAAATCGATCGTTTCCCGAACGCTGGGAAAATTTATATCGACCGCGGGGAACAATTATTTAGTGATCTCCATCCTGATAAAACGGACTATCTATTAGGTATACAAATAATCAGGGATCAATTAGCGTAATATTTCTAATAACACCCACTTGACTGATTATATTGACGAGATGACTGTGGTGTAAAAATTCCGTGTACCACTGACATATTGAAAGACTATTTGTTTATTTTAAAGACATTACTACGAAATAATTTATTAATGAAAAGTAAAAATAACATATCAATGATTTTATTCATAGAAATAAAGTGTGGTTGAGTTTACTTAATTGATTACTATTTTTAAACAAATACATTGTAAACACTTATTGTTTTATTTAATTTTCGGTTCTTTTTATCAAATTTGCGAAAAAAAATCAAGTTTTAAAAAAAAATATTAACAAAGGTTATATTTTAAATTTGACTTTAAAAGCATACGAGACAAACAATTTTATAAAAGTAAAAAAAAAAAAAAAGCTGAAACTGGGGATGGGTATATAACTGTTGTAGATGGGAAGTTGGGGAGTAATGAAAAAATGTAAATTATCAAATGGTTCACAATAAGAACTCCGTAAGCCTCCTAAAGTATTATAATTTAACGATCGAAAAGTGAATCATTGACAAATTTAAAATTCGCATTTACTGAAGATTATTACCGTTGGATATATTTTTCAATTGTCAATTTAAATAATTATTATTGCGATGATCCTATATCCGTTAGAGGAAATTGGCATATTTTTATTCCACATTCCAATATTATTATTTAAGTATCGAGAGAACTAATTAAAAAGAGAAAAAAGTTTGTTGGCAGGTTTATTCGCTTCCAGTCACTTGAACTACAGTCTGTTGGCCAACAATACAAAGCACCCTAGGCTGGTCGAAATGGTATGGGCCGCTATCAAAGTACTGTCAAAGAGTGAAAATGGTTACTATCTGTTCGTCGAAGGGGGTCTCATAGACAGAGGGCATCACGAAAACAAGGCACACCTGGCGCTCGATGAGACCGTGGAGTTATCATGGGCAGTCAAACAGGCATATTATATGACATCTAGGGAAGATACCTTAATCGTGGTCACATCCGACCATTCACACACCATGACTATGAGTGGATACCCAGAACGTGGTAACAACATATTTGGACATTCGGGAATTTCAGATACGGACAAAATGCCGTACTCGACTCTAAGCTATGCTAATGGACCATCTGCTTATATGTTGGACACCGGCAACCGGTATAATTTGACCAATGACAATAGCAGTAAGTTGATAGTCAGATTTCTCACTGTACGCCTGATAAGGAAAAATAAATCACTGAACATAATATAAAATAGGTCAAATAGGTATTATAATATTCCTTTGTCTAATGTAATCGGTCATCCCAATGACAGAATTTAACCGCCAACTTATTATTCAAAACCACGCCAGATGGATCAAATAGTAAAAATGATACTGTTTCTTTCGAGGATTTTCGGTCTTCTGTTTTCATGAAAGGAAAACTGCCATGAAGCCATACGAGAACGTCAAAACTCAGATACCAAAAACGGTTTTTATTTTTACATTCCCTTTCCTCGCATTAGCGACATGTTGCGACGGAATTCGCCATAGACAGTCTGCCTAAAATATACTACTATATTTCTCAAAATATTATTTTAATCTCTTTATATTCGGGCTACACGGAGCATCATGTACACTAGGCAACGAAATTCTTTGATTCTTACGTGACTTTTAAATGTACATTTTTATCACTGTCGAATATAATATTTTATTATAATAGATTATTAATTGATAGTTATTTGATTATTTATTCAACTATTAGTAATGATAATATTTGTAATACAAATTGCGTACTGCTTTCCAGGTGATTTCGAATACGCATTTCCGTCGATGGTGAAACTGACATCAGCAACCCATGGCGGTGAAGACGTTGCTGTCTTTGCCGTCGGTCCATGGGCACACCTATTTGTCGGTAACTACGAACAGACTTTTATACCTTACGCCATCGGATTCGCGGCCAAAATCGGACCCTATTTCACAAATGGACCTAGTCAACATTCGGGATCCTTGAACTCTGTGCCGTTCGTGTACGCAGTCATCTTCTGCACGCTCGTTTCACTCCTCACATTTTGATTGTCTCCTTACGACGCTAGCCGTCGTGATTTATATTGTATATTTTTAAATTATATTCTCGAAACCGATTTTATCTCCTATAAATATATAAAATGTAACGTAATATTCCCACGGAATGCCAACGGGCAATTTCATATTGGCCATATCTAACACAGCACGAAGTTCATAACACGTTATAAAAGTATAATGACATTAATGAAATTAATTAATCTTTATTGATGCGGTTCAAATTTACCGACAACTCGTGGAACGCGGCGTAACTTCGTTGCGTATCAACTTTTGTTACGCGACGATGTTGCGCCTTCACGTCCACACATAGATTGCTGTTTAGCGCCTAAGTTGCGTTACGACGTTACGTTACGTGCAAATGTTAAAAGTATGTACGCGGCTTTAGATGGACAATTTTGAAAAAAAAATTAACTTACTAATATTTAGATTCTTGGTGTAGCGAGTAATGTATTAATTTTACTATGAACGGTGTTTTTTTTTCTATTAACAATCTTTGTACTTAAAACATTGATCCGATATTCAAGTGTAGTATCTTTTCTGATATTAAATATTATCTAGTTGATGAATTACAGGCACGGGATAAGCAACACGAATATACAGGGTGATTGATATAACGTAAGTCACTTATTTTCTCGTAAAGTAAAAACCTCGGTGTAGATTGTTATTTGAAAATCAAAGTAGGCAGTGGTTTCACCCCTTAATAAAGGTGATAAAAAATAACCAAAAAATTAAAATTTTAGAGCTGCTTATTTATTAAAAAAATTAATTCCAAAAAAATGAATTTCTACGTTATGTTGATTACATTGTATAAATACTTCGTGCAAAATCGTTAGTTCGTTTGCAACAATTTATTTTTGCATATAGTATAATATAAACCATATTATCCTATATATCCCACCTTCTCATCCAATTATCCATTTATAACAGTGGCCTAATACCCGTGAGTAGTATTACATTTTTGTGAAATTGATTCGCGATGAAGTGTATAGTTTAAACATAAACCGGAAAAAGTTAAATAATATTGGAGAAAAAAAAATATGCCCCTACACTATAACGGTAATACGATCATCGCAATAATAATAATTTTAGATCGATTGACAACTGAAAACTGTATCGAACGATAGTATAATTATAATAAATGGAAATATAAAACTTAAGAATAGCATTATTCTCCAGTTGTCAAATATAAAATACTCGACCAGACTACGGAGTTATTATTGCGAACCTTTTGATAGTTTTCATTTTCTCTATACGATTGCATCCAAATCCGTCTTCCATCGTCGGTGGCTTATGTGGGCGAAACCGTGTATGGGGATCGGTAGTGAGTTCAGAAGTTCAGACCACCCCTACTGATTTTTTTTTTAAAGCAGAACAATTAAAACGTTCAAAATATTATTTTTTATATTTTAAACGTTAGTTTAGATTGCAAGCGATAACATTTAAGAATGTTTTTTATTTAAAATGTGACCAATATTGCTCTATGGATGCAATAGGAAATCTGGAAACAAATTTGAATTTTTCTTTTTTAAGTCGTCTATTTGTTAAAATCGAATTTCTTATATTTTCGAGGTATTAAAATATGATGATTGTTTCATATTCATTTTCCGGGGATTTAGAGAAATCGGTTAAAAATATTTGGATACATGTGGATGAATTTATCCATAAATTGAACCTTCTTATTGATATTTTATTTTTTTTATTTAATCCTGCACAAAGGCCGTTTTATATTATCCTTATATTACGCGAGGAAAAAATTCATAAAAATATTATCTGATTTATTGCCAACGGATTATGATATTTCATAAATCGACCATATTCTAAATCGCTATAACTGTTTCTATTAATTTACAACAAAATGGAAATCGAACTAAATTAAAGTAGTTAGTCAGGTACCTAATATGATATGTTATGGTATATCAATATTTACATCTCGGAACGATTTTAATCCTTCCGAGACGGGTAAGTATAAAATACAAATAATATAAAATAGAGGAGTCATAGCGAAACGTATACATAATTATTAGGTATCGCAAGAATCAAATAACTTAAACCTATCGGTCAGAGAGACAGTCGTTTCAGATATCAATCCTCCGTGTATTGCCCGTATAAGTGTTTAATGTGTATGTATATATTATTATGTGTAGGCACATATAAACGAAACACGTTATAGTATTATAATGCATTTAAACGGCATACTTTTGCACAACTATATAACACGTCTCCCTGTTGAATTTAAACCACTTTGATGCAGTGTCACAGGCGTGCAAAAATCGCTTTAATGACAACATACTATTTTTTAGTGTTATTATTATTATTAATATTCTCTATGCGAATGACTTGTCTGATAATCAGAGAGTAATATACGTTTTAATAGAAAATTCGTTTACAGAAATATTAAACCAGGGTTTTTATTTTCACCAGTCAATTTATTTATTAAACAAGTGCATCACGATGGTGTTTAAAATTAAATTTAAATTTAAAATATTATATTATTATTATACAGACTACTATAACAGACATACACAAATACATTCGAGTTGAGTAAAAGTAATATCGTCTCCCAAAACGTCTTATAAACAAAAAACATATTAAATATCCGTCAAAATGAAATATTATAATACCAATAATTTCTTAATGTGGTTGAATCCAATTACTCGATACTTTTACAAGACTGGACTCTAGTGTGTATAATGAAGGCTATAGTGTATACAATGCAGTATTGTGTCGGCGGATACGGTTTGATGTCGATATTTTATACCGTGATTTACTTGTATAATTTTACAAAAACGTTACGGTATTTTCAAAACTCGTAAAAAAAAAAGCATAATAATTTCAAGATCGCGTTGTTTCGCCGTTACGCGGAGTGGAAAAAAACACGTAATGTGATTGTATTCGACGGTGGCGCACGAATGAGTTCGAATCATCATCATCATCATCATCCTTTTACGTTTCGTATTATTATTATTTTTTAATATTAGTAAAATGTACGTCGGAGGTATAGAGCCACTCGTAACGCGGTTTCATATTATGTATGGTACATATATTATATTATTATTACTATTTATATATAGGTAGCGTAGGTACCAATAATATCGCACGGATAGGCCGCGAGGAGTAATGAAATAATGAAAAACCTCAAACATGTATCATAATAACACGATTAGAATGTAAAATAGCCCCGAAACCGTGTTTCGAGTATAGATGATATCGCATTAATTTATTTAGGCCTTGACCCTACTCTTACGGCGAATATCACGGATGGATTGAGTGAGGGGGAGACCAGCGAAGCCGTAGCCCCGGGCGATTAGACGAGGAAGGACCGCAATGGATCGTAATTGTTTTATTTAGATAATATAATATAATATTAGTTTTACTAGGAAACTAAGATGTAACGTGTTTTTTTTTTTTTTTTCGGAAAACGTTGTTTCGTTTAGTTTCAAATAATTGTCCACACCGTACACCTTAGAGTACGTTGATTTTTACTCGACGGCACTTTGCGAAACGTTCGTCGACATTCATAGATAATCACCGAGTACGGTATAGACAAACGACTATGAGCATCTAAGTACTCGATACAAGAGTTACATTCGTTTTCAGTATCTTTAGATATAAAATACTGTACTCGTATTATTATGTAACAAACTTAACGCAATACACGATTCATAAATTTAATGTGTTTAAACATTAGGTATAAGATAATCGATAGCCAACATATGGCACAAAGAAAAATCAGTGATGGTCATTGAAAACTATTTTTTCGATAACTTTTTGAAAATGTTTAAACAATTTATTTTTTTAATTTTTTGAAAAAAGTTTTCTCTTTCGAAAAAATCCCATTTTTTCGCACGTTGATCACGGCAGCAATATGTATAATATTATAATTTTATACTTTCTCAACTCGTAGAATTAAGTTTTAGATTTAACAACACGATGTATTTAGATTCTGAGGGTAGCGAGGAATATATTAGTTTTAATGGTAATTTTTTTTTCCCGTAAACAACATTTCTATCAGAAATTTTGCTTCGATTTCCAATTATAGTACTTTTTCTGAAAGGAAATCTGACTAGGGTGGTACTTTTTTTGATTTTTCAAGCTGTTTTCATAAAAAAAAAAAAAAAATAGGAAAAACCGGAAAAAACGGGAAAATAGGAACAATATTAAACAAATATTATTTAAGAAAATATATAATGCATATGTAATTATTTTACCATAATACGACATAATATATTATATTGTTGACAAAGCAACACTATTAATCAAATTTTGTTCAGAATCGTTTTTCGTTAACAATGGTTAATTGTTGCGTACAGATATATATTTAATTTCCTATCTACCTTCCCAACTTATCATCTACACCAGTCGCTCACCCATCATACGAAGTATGTGAGTAATTGTTTTTTAATTTTTTTTTTTTACCGGTGGTTTGTTTTTTTTCGATAATTAATTTTAGATTAGATTTTTGGTAGCAAATTTTGTCTAGTTTGTGCAAGATAATTGCCAGTTTATGATTTCATTATAGTTTTTTTGACAGTTGGAAAAGAAACATGGAAAAATGTATCCGATAATTCAAAATTAATTTTATTTCGATTAGAAATAATCATGTAGACTCGAAATTTTCTTTAAAAACTCGTATAAGCGCTTTCTAGACGTGATAACATTTTTAAAATTTTCTGACGATTCTTGAGCTAATTGGGTTTTAGATAATTTGTTTCTTGTTTATATCCGGTTATACGCAGATAAAATTGTATTAGTCTGGCGGAAATGCTTTACGCGTAAATCAAATCGAGCGTAATTTTATATATATATTTTTTTTTAAGAAGCGTTTTAAACGCGAAATGTCTACCGTGAAAAAAAGAAACGCGAGAAGAATATTTAACGCTAAACGTGTATCCGGACTCGGCTATTTCTTTTCACGTCTCGCTGTAAATATAATAATATATTACGCGGCCGGTATTATTTTCGTCCCGGGTTATAAAAAAAAAAAAAAAAAT